TCGATGCAAGTATTCATTTCTTTAAAATGTCTCTCTTCTTTTCAAATTTTATAAATACAATTTTAGTTTTAGCTGCAAGGCAAACTCATCCAGATTAAAATGTATAAAATACTTTCCACTCTTTGCAATCCATCTACTGTATATAAGTTTTGACTTTAGCTTAACTACTGAAATGTACTTCTTAATGATTATTCTAATTTATTGATTTTGGTATCGTGATCATTACACCACTGTTAATGGAGAATGAAACTGGATTTATTTATTTATTTTTTTCCCAGATTTTATGTCTGTAGGGACAATTAACACACATTAATTAATCAACAATTGAGTGTAAGTGTGGGCTGTTTTGTTCCTTTTCTCCAGCTGTCGACTCTGATGGAGGGCACTGTAAAGCTTATTTAAAATTCTCTGATAGGATGTGCCAAGAAAAGTAAAAAAATCTAATTTACATCTAAGAGTCTCTTGGTAACGCGCTGAGGGGAGTGAACCGGGAGAACTGGCGCTTTGATCATTGAACAGCAACTAGGGACAGAAAAGAAGATCGAGTCGTTTTACACAACTCACTCGTTTTTGCTGTAAAATGCAAATTTATAGCATGAAGTGAATGTATGTGGTTCAAGGAAAATACTGGTGTTAGGGTTATAAATGGGCAAATGGGCCATTGGCTTTTGTTGGTCAGTAATTTTACAGTGAAAAGCCCTGAATGCAGCATTTTTAGGTAATCTGGAGAATTAATGGTGCATTTACAGCTAAATTATCCAAACTGACTGAAGTTTAACTTCTTCCAAGCACCGATAAAAAAACACTTGACGTCCAGCGGGCATCTTATGAACATTTCAGGTCAAATGTCCACTTACTCAAAAACAACATGGAAAATAGGCCACAGGTCCTCTTGACATCGCTGTTTAGACTTAATTAGGAAAGTCAGGTTTAGTGGTTGAATTACAGAAATTGAGTTATTTGTCTGTTTGCATTTTAATGTACTTCTAATTGTATCAAAAAGAGTGAAATGGAAAATCTGCAGAATGTGAATTATTTTATTTTTTTTAATTTGGTTAATCGTCGGAATAATTCAATTAACAGCCGGGAATATTGGTCAACTACTCACACGGGATTAAACTAGTCATATACTCAACATAGTCATATACTCAACATATACGAATAAAAAACATTTTAGGGTGAAATACATGAGATTTTTTTTACATGGTACGCCCTTTCTTCTAATACCACCCTGGGTAACTGACTATAAACTACATAAAACCACAACTTGGCAAAAAGAAAAAAAAAAAGATATATTTTTGAAGAAGTCATTTAAATAAATCTATTTTAAAAAAATATTTAAATATATTTTTGGCACTAAACATAAACCAAGAAGATCAACTTTTCTTTTCTTTTTTAATTTAAATTTAATTGAAATAAAGATTTTGTTGGCTTGTGTGTACAAATACCCACATGTGTGTGTACGCGTGTATGCATGAACAACATGCAGCCTGAAACAGTCCAAAGCAATAAAGCTGTAGATGCTGGGCTCATTTAGCACAGAGAACCACATCAGTTCATAAAACAGTCATTAAACACACAAACCCAGTGCAGCCTGATGATGGCGAGTGTCTGCTCTGTGTGTCCCTGGAGGTGTGTTTGATCTCCTGACTGTGATAATGCGATATGCAGCCTTTGTATTTGATCACTATGCAACCATCGTCCAAGGCTGGTAAACACGCACACGCACATGCACACACACTGCCATTACCACAATGGCGGCACTGAGCTGTGTGTTAAGTGTGTGAGTGAATCAAACGCAGAGAAAGCTGCTTTTAATCAGGCTGCGCAGAGGAGCTGAGGTGAGATTAATGGCAAAAAAAAACAACAAAAAAACCCTTTTAGACGGCAAGAGGAGAACAGTAATGGGCTGATTTAACTTGAACCGACTGGCATGTTGTTGATTTGTAGCAACGTCAGATGAAATTACTTCTGTGACACTGCTAATTATGTCAGAGTTAAGATTCTGGGTGTGCATTTCACGACCATAATGTGACCTCTGATCAATTTTTCTTGTGGTTTCAGAACTGGATTGAACAAACTATGCGCAGTGTCAACCAAACAGAAGTTGAAGAAAGAGTATTGCCCGTTACATTGAGGGGGGTAAGGAGTCATAATCAGAGTCATCTGAACGAGATGAGATTTTAAGCAATGATTTGGGGAAAAGGTCAAGTATTTTTTTGGAGATGTTACAAACTTTATTTAATATTACAATTTGAAATTTATTTTCTACAGAAATGTACAATTTTGACTGCTATAACGCATTACCATGTAACTACAAAAACATTTTAGGCTGTTATAAGTTAGTATTAAGATGTTTGAAGTAATTAAATATGTTATTCTTAAAGCCAGAAATTCATTGAAATCTAAGCTAATTTAGCTTTAGATGGCATCTCCAGCATCATTGTATTTCCAAAATGTAAACATTTACAAATTTAACATTTTTTATTTTAGGTTCCCATTTTGTCTATTTCTTTTTATGAGTAATATTTACATTATAAAAGTTCTTTAAATCTGTATTGGTTTGTCAGTGAATTCATAAGTTACATCATAGATAATAGACCTTCACAAGTTTAGATAAAAAAAACAAAACATTAAAATAATAACCTCTTGAGAAAATTAGTTGCTCTTCTCTGTCAAGTAGCAAAAGATAAATCAATGAAATGAATGATGTATTTTAGTGTCTTATAGTAAATTAGTCCTTTTGGTTTCAACATGTCCACTTTACTCATGAATGGAGGAAAATGTGGGACCATGTGCTGCCATGGTTACGTACAAGCCAGAGAGCAGCTCAATTTCAAAGAAAACATTTGAGAGTCCTTCAGAAAGACCGGGGGAACGTCGAATCATGTCATCTCCAAAACATTAAAAAAAAGGCTGTTTTTTTTTTTTTTTTTTTTTTTTGAGGTATAATAAAATTACAGGTGACTTAAAATTGTTGTACAGTTCTGTACTTTAAAAAAAACACTCAGCTGTTATGGCACCAGAATAGTGTTGTAACAGTTAAATTATTAGTACAAATCATAAAGCCAATCACATTATGGCAATGCATTATTAATTAGTCCATGACTAATTAATACATGAATTAATGAATTAATACATGAATAATGGCACACTGCTTAATGAGTCCTCCTTGCTTACCATCTGTGTAATAGAACTGCTGCATTACTGATGCAAACTACATAGTTCACAGTCAACAGATGAGCTAAGTGCTGTTAGCTCGTAATTGGGCTACTTTTCATGTGAAGGCAGCTTTGCTGTGCTGCTGATGCCGTTCATGGATTTTTGGCTCGATGTTTATTGTTTGGGTGAATTAATTTAAATGGTGCACCTTCCTGCTTGAAGTTAACAGTATGCAACTCCGAAATGTATAACTAAAAATAGCACAGTTAAAAGAAAAGCAACAATTGTCTACTCGAACCATTTTAAAATTGCGCAAAATTATTTTGCTTTTGACGACCACTTTTCTAATTTTGATACATCAATTTAAGCAAAAATATAAAACACCAGTGCCTAAGTGTAGCTAAATTTGAGAAGTTTTTAAGTATTTCTCAAAAAAATTCTACAGTTTTCCATTCTGCACTTTACAGAGTAATGTGTGATCTTAGATGGTGAATTAGTTGGGCTGTGTGGCCTGGTAGCAAACCTGCAATTAGCTGCTTGACACGGTCGCTGCTTATAGATTACCAACTGAAGTTTAGAAATAGGGTTAAGGGTGATGCTTCTTAATATTCAACATATGACTGGAAATTTCTAATCCACCAAGTTTGCTCATCTTGTAAAGGGGCAGGGGGAAACAAATACTTTTTTTGCACGGCTGAAGAAGATTTGCACAGTTGTGATAAAAGCATTTTAATCATTATGCCTTGATATTGGTAAGCCTTTCATTTAACAGTTTAAAGTTTGAGTTTCAGCTTGTGTAGCTGAGTCAACAAGAAAATTCAATTCAAGCTTTTAACCCGAGTCTCAGAAAACATGAAAATCACAAAAAGATGGAAACCAAGCCTGTATGTGGCTGATTATGGCTCCATTTTATGGCCTCTATGGTATACATAGTACTGGTACTGAAATCTGATGACTTGCGACAAATTTTGTGTCAATCAGTGCCACCTGCATTTAGGCAAAACCCTTCAGATTATGTGGTAAAGTATAAAACTACCAGTACATTTCCCCCCACCCCCACATTTCTCTTGTGGAAAAGTGAGTTCTTGGGTTTGGTGAAGTAGGCTTACTTACCTACTGACAATAACACTGGTTTTTGTTTAATTCAATTGTAATCAAACTAAAGCTCAACTCAAAGCAAAATGTCAACTGAGACAATGACATGCTGCATAGGAAAGACATAACATAACCACAAACCATGCACTACAATTTGGGAATTGCCCCGCCGTTCCAAGTTTTGGAAACGAGGGAAGTTTAAGTGAGAGTCAAAGTGTATGATCGATGCTGATTGGCCGTCACACCTGTCTGCTCCTTCCTGTTGCGTCTCCACTCGGGGGTTTCGAGCACAATGAAGAAGGAGGATTCCTTACTGTACTCCTCCCGGTCTAAGATTCTAACGGTTATGGTCTTCCTGTATGGGACAACACACGTACACACAAACACATACAGAAGGAAGGTGGTAAATGCATGCATGAAAGACAACAAAAAAAAACCGCAAAGAAAAAACCAACAAACAATAAAAATGGCATGACAAGGTATGCAAGTTAAAACACATATAAAACGATTACAAAAAAAAAAACAAAAAACTAGGTGGTAGATGTGGTGAGATGAGGTGACCCCGCAGTCGGCTGCATGCTCCCCCCGGACGCATCAGGAGGAGAATAAAACCGAGAGTCAGAACAGTCAAAGCTACGTCTCCTCCTGTGGAGTTTCCGTGTTAACAGCATGCAGCCGCTGCGGTATGGCGGACGCTCTGGAGCTTCGCGTGGTCGGCTTTCGGGACCGGTCAGGCGGCTCACCCTCTTCTTGACCTTTGGCGTCGTTGCTCTCCACCAGGCGAGGCTCTCCGATCTCAATGTAGAAGGCTTTGTTCTTCTCGTACTCCTCGTCATCAATTATTTTCACCTTGATGGTTTTACTGAAAGGGCGGGAGGGAAGGCAGAGGGGAGAAGGAGGAGGAGAAGAAGAAGAACAAGAAGAAGAAGGCAGAACAGTGAGGACAGGACAAGCCAGAAACTGGAAGAAGAAGAAGCAGCAGCAGGAAATAAAAAATAAAAAATAAAAAAAGCCACATTCCCCACAGGCTCCCATCAGGAAACAGACGGATTATTTATTGCCTCTTTCATCTTTGATGCATTTAAATTAGCTCAAATCAGTACAAACCAGATGGATCTTGTGAAAGCCACTCTGTGCTCAGCAAACATCCTAATCAGGACTCCATTCAATTTTAAATTCAAAGTAGATACCGAGTCCATTTGTTAGCATCAAATACATAAACGCTAAAGACCAGTGGAAGTGGTGCATGAAGTATACAAACATGTTTTTTTTTTATTTTTTATTGAAGTTTGGGATTTGCAGACTTACATGACAAGTTGACATCAATCAGACGCGACATTACAACTACTCAGCTGCAGAGTTCCTAACACCAAATACGCCATCATCAACGTTTTTAGTTTCTCGTGTTTTCATGAAATCAACACCTCTCTCACCTACCAAGACGGATAGCGGTGCATATTTAGTTCAGATATGATCCACATTTGTAATCCTCCTCTGACCCACATACATTCAGTCCAAAGTAATGATGTTGGCGCAAGGCAAGTCTGGCTGCCGAGAGTCAGCTGCAGGTCCAGACATGCTGGACCTGTTCATCAATTATCAGAGTAGTACGCACTGTCCCAGTTTACTTCTGATGCCGAACCAAACTATTAGAACGATCCATGAATAGAACGAGTCCTTCGGTAAACACAAGAGGCTGGGATCAGGTAGACGGATCTTGCAAAGTCTCCATCACTCAAGAGCAAAACAAACAAAATCCTTGATGGGAATCAGTAAATCTTTCCCTGAAATCTTGTCTGATCTCAGTTTGTCTGTAACTGCAGCAAAATGTTTTGGTTTGAGATGATAATTCAGGCTTTGGTCACAGGTCAACTTGCACACACAGTAGTCCTTTCCAGCATCTCATCAGATTGTTTGAGGCTAAACCGAACCCCCAGCAGGTCAAGAGAAGCACGTTCGTCGTCTGTTACGGTTGTGCGTCAGATTTAAGGCATACCAAAACTCCCCATGAATACAAAGGTTCCTACTGGAACTATTGTAAATCTATGTAATGTGTTTTAAAAGTGCAGCCATAATTTAAACAATTGATGAAGCATCTGGATAAAATGTAAACAAACTGAATTTACATTGCGCCTTTCCAGTCAAGCTGACCGCTCAAAGCACTTTATGCTACACCGATACAGAAATATTGAAATTATATTTGGTCAATATAAACTGATCACATACCAATCAAACAGATAGGAGCACCTCTTGAAACCAGCGTTCCTCTGCACTCTGTTGGGAATGTAAGCTCAAATTTCCACTTTCAGTCACCCATCGCACAGACATGATTATATCAAAACTTGTGATACACAGTCGTGACTTTGTCCTGCTGTTCTCCCTCACCTATTCGATGGGATATTTAAAAAAAAAAAAACACAACAACAAACCTGACTGTGAAATGCAACAGTAATGTGTGAATGTGAGAAATCAAGGATATAATTTCTCTGAAGCCGTTGTTTTTATTGTATCTGTTCAACTCCTCTCAGTGAAGTGTGTGGAACTGAGCGCCTTCGTTGTTGCAGTTGGCCTCCGTCATCTTCGACTGTATATTTCGTGCTCCGTGTGTGAAACGAGTGCCTGCAGACATGGCTGTTTATCTTGAGTTTTCAGTCCGGAACAAAACCCTCGGTTTGGTTTGATCCAAATCCACTACAGGCAATGACAAAAAGGCAGCAGAGAGAAAACTCATAATCCGGCCCACGGGGCAGGAAATGGGAACACACACACCCCGTGTGAGCGTCATCTCTGATCACAGATCTGGAGCCCGTGTTGAACACTCCATGAAAAAAAAAAAAAAAAACGTTGCATGAGCGCCAAGCGGCTCGGACACACGCGACCCCTTCAAGCAGAAAGGGACACATGCAAACACAGCCGACTCCAACGACGAGACAACGATGCCTACATCATCGATTATGAACGTTTATTCAAAAATAGCTCGACTCCACTTGTTTTTCTGACCGAACACAGTGGTGTTCATTCATCCAATTTTATGCATCACATGTCAAATCAACTGCGTCACTCTAACGCTGTAAAAAAAAAAAAAGATATTCTAACGCCACAGGCAAATACAAAGAGAGGCAACAGAGTTTAGCTTATTGCATTAGAGGGATAAATGCGCCTAGCTTTGTCTCTGAGCAGCAGATGGAGAGCAGATTTACCCTTCTGCTGCAGAGAATCCCATGACCGCCAGGCCGGCACTGAAGAAGTGATGGAGTCAACTTCTCCTCTGCCACAAGGTGGAGCCTTTGAGAACTTTACTCACTGCTGATTAAATGGAAATGCTCAGGATGTCATGACTGAGAAACCTCACAGTTGCCTCCGTCAGGAGTAAAACATAACCACCGGTGCGGCTTTTACCTCTTACATGTATTTGTAAGATCACGATCTTGAATTCAAACAAATAAAACTGACAAGTACATCATGACAGAAGCAACAAAATGTCTTCATAGAAGTGATTTTTGCCTTTATTTTAGCAGGACGGATCTGAACAGGGAGAAGACCAAAGATAACATCTCGATAACGCCGACCAGAGAGGGACTCGGAGGATCAACATGAGAAAACAGCTTTGAGTTGGGTTTGCCTCCTGAAGAAAACCCATTTCAATCAAACTGGCGACGTAGTAAATGTTTTGTGTGATTAATCTAATGTTTCAGAGCCTGTGTTTTGTTTCCAAAAATAAATCCTGAACCACTCACTGAGGAGACAGGGTGAAACACCTGAGTTGATGCCCAGATTTCCATAAAATGCCCCAGAAAACTATACACAC